CCATGAGCACTAGAGTTAGAACATCAGAGTCAGCATCATCATTTGCATCGCATTTACAGGAGTTACATAAAGAAATTAAAGAGAAAATTGAACAAAGTAATGCAAATTATAAATTTATGGTTGATCATAAAAGAAGAGCTAAAGAATTCAAAATTGGAGACTTTGTGATGGTTCGGATCCGCAAAGAAGTTGCATGCAAGAAGCGCCAGACCGTCAAGATAATTTCAAAGGTAAATAACAGTGCTAACGTACTAGCCTTCCCCAAGGTTTTAACATCAATTCCACATTTAACATAGAAGATCTCGTAACCTTTGAGGGACCAGAATTTAACCCAAGCAATCCACTTATAAAAGAGTCTTGTGCGACCACACCTGGTGAGATCCAAAGCCTACCTCCTGTCACGAACCAACCCGACCGGAACGAATCCCTTCGCGTCGGGCCGCGACAAATATTGAAAATCCAGGATTTAGTTTTGGAATTTGCTTCAGAACTTTCTTCCAAATATTCAAACAAACAGAAACACAGAGCTACTATAAACTTCAAATACATATATAGAAATGCATCCACTATTTTCTTATTTCTTTCATCAAAATAATCATATACAATACAGTGCATGGCTACAGACAGAAAGAACAGAACAGAAAAGCCATGACTGTACAAAAATCAAAAGTACAAAAATACCTAATCACTAATCAGACATTGAACGGCTAATCCAAGACTTCCTTTCCTTTCCCATAACTTGAAAACCACGCAGAAAATAAGGATGAGCTAACAGCTCAGCAAGACTACACCCACCAATCAAAATATCCAAAAATTTACATCAGAAAACACATCAGAAGCTATTATTCAAATAGCCGTACATAATTCAAACAGTCGTACAGAAATCGTATAACAGACAGAACATATACTTGATCAAATAGAAATCAAATCACAGATATATGAATTCAAATCAGAGTGCAGAACAGTTCTGATAAAACTTATAAAACTTTCAAATCACAGAACGGATCGGGGATTGTACAAATCAGAATTCAAATCCGATAAATTCACATTTTGGATATCACATCACATTTCACATAACAGATTCCCGGACCCTGACAGAATCTCAACGGATTTTGGCCCCTTTATGCCTCCCTTCCCTGACACAGACAGAATCTCAACGGATTCTGACCCCATTATGTCTCCCTTTGTGCTTATAGCACAAGAACAGAACAGATATACAGAATTTTCAGAACATAATTTGTTTTTCAGATTTCTCAGATTTCCCTGACACAATCAGAATCTCAAAGGATTCTGGTCCCTTATAACTCCATTCTGATAGCACATCACATCAGAACATTCAATTCAGAAAATCAGGTTTCGTCAGAAAATCTTTAGCGGCATAACGACAGTATATGGAATTTACAAAACTCACAGATTCAGAAATTTACTAAATTATCACAGATACTGCAAACAACATTCTAAGACTTTTATTGTACTGAAGTAATAATTTCAGACATCCAGATAAATTGTTATTCGATCAAAACCCCGTAGAATTCAAAATACACAGTAAAAATCTTCCAGAAAATACTCAAAACGTGCACAAATATTATCTCATAAACATATAAAAAGTTACGCGATAAAACTTTTATCAGTACAAAATAATACTAGAAGTTCACTAAATGAACCAAAATTCGATAGAGAAAAGTCGTCAAAATCCTCGTTTCTGAAAATTGAGAAAGGCGGAATGTGTCTTACCTCGAGTCGGTCAACTTTCTCGACTGCAGCTACGGACGGAAACGGACAGAAGTCGCCCAAAAGTCACTTTTTCTTATTTTTCCTTTGGTTTTCTCTCTTCAAAAAGATCTCATTTCCATATATATCCAACCAGATCGTCCCGGATGATCCCAAATCGTCCTGGGACGATTTGCCCACTGGACGAATTTCATTCAGACGAAATAGTTATCGTACCTGGACGAGTTGCTCTTTGGACAAATTTCGTACGGACGAACCTCATTTCCTCCTGGGACGAACTTCTCTGTCCCCAAAACCTGTACAAACCTGTATCGATCGTCCCAGGACGATCCAACTTCATTTTGGACGATCCTGGAAGGAAAACAGCTTTCACACCTCCACTCCCAAACTTACCTCCCTTACCCAATGCAGAGACAGTTAAATCCATATTAGATGATGAGATCATTACCGCGAAAGGAGGTGGATGTCGAAGATACTTAGTTCACTGGAAAGGGACCCCGGCGACAGAGGATACGTGGGTTGACCAAGAGGAGTTGCAGCGTTTAGATCCATACATTCTAGAGTGGTTCGAGAGCTCTAGAGACACTCACTCGACAAGGTTGAGTTTTCTCCCACTTGGGGAGAATGATGAGGACATCGACGGACGCTACCGACAGGTTTATCGACGGCGGAATCGCAGATCGACGGCCACGATTCAGTGCCTCTACTTTTGATTCAGATGTCATGATGCATTATTTAGTATTTACTGTTTTTTTCGTTTTTAACCCTGTGGGGAGTTACTTTGTTATTGTAGCCCAGAGGGCAATGTTGTACTTTTTTTTTTCATGAGTTGAGACCTATATATAGTGGTTTCATATGTTGTATTGGGGTTAATGAATATTTGAATGAAAAATTGTGTTTTGTTTATACTTTTTCTTGCATGAGAGCTTGAGAAGGGAGAGAGCTCAAGGGGAGCAAATCGCAAGGCCCACCTGTCGTTGGAAGAGTCCGCGGCTCGTGGTTAAGTTATTCTATCTTCTCGTTTGTGTTTTCCTCGAACCACTTCCCCCACCACAAGAAAAGCCATTCAAATCCTTGTTGCCGCCACCACCTTGGAAGCCCGCTGCCGGCCACTTCCACGGCACCGGCCGGCCACCTTGCCGGCGACTTCCCCCTCCATCCGTCCAACCCATTTCTCCGCAAGTTTCAAATTTGAAATTTGACTTTAAAATTTCAAATTCTTTCCTAATTTGGAATTTCAATTTAATTTAAATTGGACTTTTTAAAAATATTTCCACATCATCACTCCAAATTGGAAACCATCTTTCCACTAATCTTCCTCTCCCCCTCTCAACATGCCGCCGGCCCCCTTGATGGAGTCTCCCCATTGATTGCTCATTTAATGCCTCACCCGATTTGAAATTAAAATTTGATTTCAAAGATTTTTCCCTCCCAACTTAATCCTGAAATTAATTTCAGTTTTAAGTTTTAAACCGCCTCCCTCTCTCTCTATAAGCCGCCGGCCCCTCATTGGCTTCCCCTCATTAACCCCCATTCAATGCCTTAATTTTTAGATTTGAAATTTAAATTTCAAATCAAATTTCCCTCCAAACTTAATTAAATATGAAATTAAATTCAGATTTTGATTAAATCTCTAAAGTAATCCACCCAAACCTAATTTCCCCTAACCCTAGCCTTCTTCCCCTTGAACCCGCCGGCCCCCTCCCTTTTCCCCTTAGAGATCCCGCCGCCCCTCCCTTCTCCCCCATCCTTCTTCGCCACCTACAAGTGCTCTCCCTCACCACTACATATTTCCTCCCTTCTCATTGAAATATTCTCCAACGTCAAGCATGCATGGCGGATCCAGAATTTGAGTGGGGCCTTGTATTCAACGCCGACGGAAGCCTCAACATCCTAAGATCTCCGTTTTTTGACGTGGGATTTGAAGACGACGCCACCGTTGGAGATTATTTGGAGCAAGTTGTCACTACTCTTGCAAGCGTCATCGATCGCCAACTTTCAAACTACGATTGGAGCTTCCTTGGCCACCCACTACCTCCATCTCCACCGGCTACCTCTCCACCAACGAAGTTCTTCGGCGCCTTCTCTTTAGTGGTAATGTCCTTCATCATATGGGTCATCTTTCTCCGCTAAAAGCCTCCAATTAATTGAGTGAGACGGCCCTTGAGGTGAACTCTCATTGTTAAGCGTTGGATTTTTGTTAATTGTACTTTGCATTTAAATTACCTTGAACTTTGAAAGAATTGTCGCGGTTATATTCTATTGCACGTCTTTGGCCTAAGCAAGTTAAAAATTTCAAAATTCTTAACTCACTTTTATGTGCTGGCATTAAATTTAAATGAGCAATACTTTAATCAACTTTCTTTCTAATTTCTAATCGTAACTCCTAGTAGTTTCACATCATTGTGTTTACGTGTGACTAGCAAGGATTATTACAAATGACTATAGCTTAGCAGATTCTCTTGTTTTTTGGACTATTACACGGTTCTGTTTTTGGGATTATAGTAGATTTTTTTTTACTGGAGTTTTAAGATAGTGTACCTGTAGTTTTTGTCAAGGGAAAATTGAGTTTTTTTTTTTTTAAATTTGTAAAATTTTGGAGAAGGTTGAGCGTGAACTTGATGGTTATTTAAAATTAGATTGGATTAGTTTTGACTTGAATAAATATTCTTGCTTGTTGGATTTATGATTCATTCAGAGGGTGGTAAAAGTGTGAATTTATTTCTTGATGAAGCTATCTTCTTGTATCATTCGTAGCTTGATTTTATTTAATATTTTTATTTCTTGTTATATTCATCTCTATAATTTGTTTGATATTGACTTGTTTAGCACTCTTTATTTTGATAAAAATTTTACACGATGAAGTTTCAATTTGTGTTTTCCAATTTTACAGACTTTTTGGATTATTTTGATTGTTCATCTTGGGTTTTATTTTAATCCCAATATTGGCTATTGATATTGAAGAGAAGGTAAGTTGAATTAATTGATGACTTATGTGAATTTTTCTTTGCATAAAATCACTTTACACATTACATCATCTATATAACTTGTTTGTCTAGTTAATTGCGCCATAGAACATTTCTGTCTAGAAACTGCAGCCACTGCTAGCATTCATTGCCTTGTGCTTGTTAGTTATTATGGTCGAATCTGTTCTCATACTTCATACCTCTACTGCTCCAGTATTTTTAATTGCGTTGGCATCGTTCAACGGATTCCTTTAATATTTAGAAAGTGTCCATTGATTTCTGACTGGTTGTGTGTTTTTGCAGAGACCTAAAAATGATAACAAACATGAAGCCAAGAAAGCACGTAAAAAACTTGCTAAAGGTTACAAAGAAGATCAAGGTAAGGGTGGCGGCTCAATTGACATAAATGATGAATCTGAAGATAAAAAGCATGATGCAGAGGAAACTGCTGAACATTCTAATAGTGAGACAGAAGATGAGGACAATGATGAGGACAATGAGCATAAAGTGCCTGAATCAATTAAAACGTCGTCAGATGGGGAGGAGATGGATGAAGACGAGAAACCTAAATCCAAAGTGAAATCCCCATCAGTGAGAAAGACCTCTCGTGCCAAATCTAAAAAAGGTTCATCGTCTGCTGCTTCAAAGAAGGCGGGTGCTGAAGATGAGGCAAAAGTCTCTTCAGAGAGTAAACCAAGTAAGGCTAGCAAGGGTATTTCAAAGACAGAGAAGAAATCAACAACCAAAAAGCATTCCAAGGATAATTCTACCGGAAAGGCTCCCCAAAAGAAGGTTGAAGCTGACTCTGGTTCTGCTTTATCCCATAGATCAAAAAAAGTTACAGAGAAAGGAAAGAGCAATGCCAGAACTGTCTCGAAAGATAAGCAGGAGAACAAGATTGAAAAAGCCGCAGCAAAAGACGTGAATGAAAACAAGAAAAAAATTACAAAGAGTGCATCAAAAGATGTGAAAGAAAACAAGAAACAAATTGCAAAGACAAAGTCGAAAAATGTTGCCAAGAATAAAGGTATAATGTTCCCAAATTGCTTTTAAAGTATGCATGCTTTGAAAAGGATCTCGTAGAATGAGCACCTGGCTCTTAATCTTATTTACGTTAACTCATATCCTGTTTGATACACGCATATGGAGGGGAAAAAAATTTGGCACAAGATATCCTAATCAAATTTTTAGTCAATGGCTTTTAAGTCATATGATTGGTTTGAGATGAGTGGAATACGAAATTTTTATTAATATATTATATATTTCATTCATCTCAAAGCAATTCTAATACTGTTGAGATCCATCATGAATCAGAATTTTCATTTTATAGGGATATTTATGATAAGGTGCAAACTTCTCCATTATATTGTGGTGGGTTGAGCTACTTTATTGGGTTGGCTATTCAAATCAAAGCTAGCCATTGGTGCCAAGCCGCCAGATTTCATTTTGTTCATAGATTTTTTGATTTAATGCTTGAACATCAATTAATTCTTCTCACATATGCATGCAAATTTATCTCAATGTCCATCTGTTCTTAGTATTATTAGATTATATTATTCCCATCTAAGTATAATCGGCTTTGAATCTAGGATATCCAGTTCTCAGTTTTGGAGTCTCATATAACTTTTAGGACGATAAGGAGTGTAAGTTGTACCTGCGCTGATTAATAGTGTCTGTTTTGAACTTCAATGAAGCAGAAGAAAATGAGACATACTATGTTATCTTAAAAATTCTCTCTCTTGCATAGATATGCATATTTTGTTCCTTACTGAATTTGATATTTTCTCATTTTACACTTTATTGAACCCTGTATATTTGAACGTTTGGTTTCGAAGCTAAAATTCCATATAACGTAATATTTATTGTTTTTATGTGAATTTGGTTGACGTTTGTTCTTATGAGTTCGACTGCTCATAGTATGTTATTTTTTGTCAGTGTTGAAAGTGGCCTTTATAGCTAATTAATTACTCAAGTTTAACCCTTCTCAACCATGCTGCGCTGGCCTGATAAGGTTTGTGATGTTCGATAGGGAAACCAGTGGATGATTTTGGTGAACCGAGCACAGAACAGTTGCATGCTGTGGTCAGTGAGATACTGAAAGAAGTAGACTTTAATGTTGTGAGTATTTAGTTTTGGGTAATGCAATGCGATTTTTTTTGTTTTCCTCTGTCAAAAAATAAATTTCTAACTTTTTTCTGTCTGATGCAGGCAACCCTGGCAGATATTATTAGGCAATTAGGTATGCTTTTTGTTACATGGTGAAATTCTATTTGCTTTAAAACCTTAGTGCTTAGTGAACTTCAAGAAATTTCACATTATATGAGAAAAATTTTGGTACAGTATGGGTTCGAAAGCAAAGCCCTGCATGGGGTCCTAGTTGGGTACCCATGCTTTACTCAGACGGGCTTCGCCCACCCACGCCCACCCATTGTGACTTTCGGGATGTTGTTACCCACCTATACACACTTTTCATGCTTTTTGAACGCAGTCTGCCACGAACTGTTGGCCTTGAGGCTTGTTGCCCTTTGCTTTGATTCCAATCTTTTAAGCTGCATATCAAAATTTACCGTAATCTCAGCGTGGTTAAGTGTTGCACACTACGTAGTGAGGATTGTAGTAATATAAGATATACGGTGATTAGCAATGTAAATCGATTTATCCTTCGATGTTGAGTATCCACTCATACCTACCCATAAGGCCATGAGCGTACCCATACCCAACCATACCCATTGGGTATAGGTACCCAATGTAGGGCTCTGTAATCGAAAGGGAAAAAAATTGGGTGCAACCATAATTTGGTCAAAATATTTATTTGCTTTGAGATGAGTCTAATAAAAGAGTTTATTGATTATTCATATGCTGTCATATGAACATTGGATACTGTTTTTCAGGTGCTCATTTTAATACTGATCTCATGGATAGAAAAACAGAAATAAAAGGCATTCTTGAAGAAGTGATTAATAATATGAGCGATGATGAAGATGATGAGGATGATGATGGTAAGGAGGAATGAGGTGAGAAGAATTGAGGATGATGGGGTTGACTTTGTAACATTTTTTTTTCCCACTGTAATTTTCGTTAATTAGGATGCATGGTTTAGACTATGCTATGCTATGTTTGCTTCATTGATGCTCTATCACATGCTTTCTTTTTATTGTTTGAATTTTATTTCCCACTGTACATCACTACATTAGCTTTTACGATTTTTCCCCCCCTTGACTTTTGGTTTATAGCATATCTTCTCTTTATTCATTCTTAATGCTTCTATTTTCTATAATGTTCGATGGTTTTTAAGCTTTTAATATTTTGCTATAATTCTAATTATTGCAGATAAGGGTACAATTATTATTATTATAGTTTTTTTTTTCTCTTATGAATTAATTATTGAAACGCTATTGATGATAAGACTTTGTTTGGGATGATTTTTTTACTGCTGCTTAAAAAAAAGTTACATTAAGAAGCAGGAGAAAAGCCATCCCAAATGAAGCTTAACTATGGCTTCATTTGGGACGGCTTTTTCATTGCTTTCCAAAACAGAGTTTTGGTAAAAAATAAAAAAAATTTATATTTCTCGAACTTATATTCTCTTTGGGATTATGGATATTTACTTTTGACTGTTTCTAGAATTGATGTGCTAGCTCAGGATTACCTTTTTCTTATTCATGAACTCTTAAATGTTTGTGCTCCTTTTATCATTAATAGAATATACCAACCCATATGACATCAATGGGGTGCCAGTCTAGAGAGATAAAGGGGAGCAATAATATAGTTTATTTTCACTCATTTCTTATGCGAAAACCAATTCCTTATATTTAAGAAAAAAAAAAATAAATGAGTTTATATTATTCAGTAACAGTAATATTTATTTTTATTGGACTTTTGACCAAATTAGGTGTGAAGATACATATTTAACATATGTAAATTTTTAACTTGAGATTTTGAGGTTGGTAGTTTAAGTACTCAATCAATAGGTTAAGATGAGTTGCATCATTTTCTTTCTCAAAAACAAAATGAAAATTATTCTTATCAGCAATCTAAGGCTTCATTTGAGGGCAAATTATTCTGTGGATGTCGAACGCTGCATAGAGATTTATTAGAATGTGCCATGCCACCCTCGCTCGTATCGTGCTTGGTATTGTTGATCTAGCGCATTTTAATTGGTCTTTAGAAGGTGAACTGCGTAAGGCGTCCGCATAGAATAATTTCTCATTTGAGATAATTTTTTTACTGCTTTTTAAAATAATTATTTAGTCTAAAAAATTTTTTTATTAAAAATTTGCTTTTGAAAACAATAAGAAATTCGTTCTAAGCAAAGCCTAAAACTTATTTTATCATCAATGTTATTTTCCATTTCTAGTGCAGCAGAAGGTTACGAAATTAGCGTAAATAGAAATGGAAAATTGGTAGGCTCCAATCTGGCAATTTGAGTAGACTACGTGGAAGAAGATGAACCTTTGACACAAACAATAACAAAATTGCAAAAATCCAAACAGAATCAGCCATTAAGATTTTTTTTTTTTTTGTTTTTTGGGTAAATACCATTAAGATTTCAAGCAGAAGTGTAGATTTTATCAGAGTAGAAAAATCCAGTTGTAAGAAATTGAATTGGGAGAGACACAGATACATCACTGTCAACATCTCATTATTTTTTTTTTCTTAAAATCTGAGAGTCAATCAAATTTAAAACAAAACAAAACAAAAAAAGACAGTACCATTCATTATCAGGATAAGAAAGCACATTATTGCCTGCAGGCGACGAAGAACAAGATGAAATGTTGTTTTCACTAAATCAATAAATGTTGATGCTTTCCTTTTGATTCAGTTCAAATAACAGAGTTTTAGTGCTGTAAATGGCTTTCATTTCATCAGCAGAGGTATGTGATGAGGTACAAGACTTTCAGCTAAGGCTTCATTTGGGACGGCTTTCTTACTATTTTTTAAAGCAACTTTTTAGTACAAAAGTTTAAATTTTTGTACTAAAAAATTGCTTCAGAAAGCAATAAGATTTACAGATCAATTCAATCAAATTCAATCAAATTGAGCCAAATTAAAATCGGGCTCGAGTCTTTTTTGCATCATAAGGATCACATCAAATTTGTGCCGATTTTTAATATTTTTTAGGTGGAGATCAGAACATACCTATTATTATTAACCCAACATGTGAACCAATTTTGTTTTTGCAAACATATTTTCAGACATTGATATGAGCTCTTCATAATAAGAGTGAAACATTGCCATTTATAGAATAGCATTGCAAGTTCATCATCACTAAATTATACCCCAAATGCTTCAACCAACTTTACTCCTCATCTTCTTCAGCAAGACTTGGGACAATTTACTTCTCTTGTTTGATTTGAATAGAAATCAGCTTTGATTACTCCAACTGAGATTATAAAAAAGTTAAAATCGAAAAAGAGTATAATTATAAGGACTAAAATGTGATTTATCCAACAAATTTTTATACCATGTCATGTCATCATCAATCTTAGCTCATGATTCCATGGAATCTACTGGAAAAAAAAAAGTTGAATGTCGCTTGTATGTCTGCTTGGTTGGCAGATATGGAGGGCTTTGCTTGATAGGTGGAGGATAAGTCAGATATCCATTTCAACGACTTACCAACTCTTTCTATTTTCCACTCTACAGAGGGATGAAGGATCCAACTCATGAGAAATTAGTACTCGTGTATTGTATGAATAGCTAGATCTACATGTAGACAATCATGCCTTTACTGTACGTGCAACTATCTGTCCAAGTGTACTGACTACACATCTGCATACTCAGCACACAACGAGCCTAGGGGTGACAATTCAGTTCAACGGGTCGAATTCGGAACTAATCTGGCGCTATATGACATGACCTGAACCCGACCCGTTTTTGGAAACAGATCAGAAAATGCAACCCGGACCCGACTCGCCGGGTTGTCGAGTTGACATGACCCGCCACGAAATCTGACGAGACAGACGACTGCTAGAGCTGTCAACATTTGACCCGACCCGAAAACCCGAACCGAACCCGAACCGGGTCGGGTTCGGGTTAGAGATTTCGACCCGTTTATAAAACGGGTCGGGGGCGACAGCCATGTCGAGGCGCTGCCTCCTGCAGCCAGGCCAAGGTGCTGGTGTTGTGCTGCCTCGTACGACCAATCCCACGTGTCGCGTGGTCCACCGTGGACCTCAAGGCTGCCAAGCCGAGGCGCCGAGTGGGTTGGGGCCGTTGGGCACGTGCGGAGTGGTGTGGCTGGGCTTGACCAGCTGACCACGTGAAAGTTGAGACGAACTCAGCCGTGTGACGTGCGACTGCGGCATAGCATAGGTTTCCAGACCTGGACCCGGGTCAACTTCGAGTTGATTTCGGGTTTCCAGGTCAACCCGAACCCCAAAAACGGGTCAAAAATCCGAATCCAAACCCAGCCCGTTTTACAAACAGATTAACCTGAACCCGAATTTTTCCAGGTCGGGTTCAGGTCGTGTCAATTTTTGACACCTCTAAACAAGCCTTGCTATATGTAGTCCACACCTGATAATTTCTCATTTCAGCTCACTATGCATTGCCTTACAACTCATCTTCCAGTCACTATATATGGTGGATGACTAGGAAACACTGTTGAAGTTCAGCTAAGAGAAGGCAACCAAGTTTTTTTTTTTTTCATTTGAGATGTAGGAACCAGTTCAGTCACTTCACAGATATGTACAGAAGCAACTAAGCTATGATCAACATCATGTTGAGCAACACAAGCCTTATAATCATACTCTGATGAGAAGCTTATAGCTTAAACATCCTAAATAAAACTAACAATAATTAAGAGGAAGATCTTAGAAAGCCCAAGTTACAAAGGAACTTTTCAGACCGAGATCTGAAGAGGTTTCCAAGAGAGAACTTTCCACTCTCCTGCAATGGAGACTTAGAACACTCATCATCCTTTACATACAGCACTGTTTCACCAATTTCATTCCTCACAGCTTCAATTATCTGGCTCTGAACTGGACTTCCAGATGCATCAGTTACATAAAAGACATTCATGGCTTGAGACTCCCTGGTTGAGACCTCGGCTCGAATAACCGAAAGCCCATTCTCTCTGAATATGCGGGTCACATCCGATAGCAGTCCGATTCGATCTTCGCTACAGAGCTCAAGCCTTAAACCCTGAGCCAAGCATAAATTAGCTGAATTAGCATCTGGTCATGAAGGTTTAAATATTGTGGTAGGAGTACCTCTGTGCTTCTCCGTTTGATTGCAGCTTCTAAGCAATGAATCAATCTTTGCCTCTCTCCTTCAGAGCTTACAGGGCAGCCATCAATATGTCTAATGTAGTATTCCTGTGCTTGAAGAATACAATAATAACTATACTATGATTACAAAATAAATCATACACTGACCTTGAAAGTAAGAATTGAGGGAAGATTTAGGGGGTGTTTGGTATCGGATTTGTCCGTAGGATTTAGCGTAAATCCAGTCAAACGCAATCCGCATCGCTGTAAATCCGGCAAATCCAGGATTTACGGATTTACGGCATAAATCCGGTAAATCCGTCAAAATCCTAATCCCGTTCATATTCAGATTTAACGAGTTGCGGAACTTCTTCCAGCGGCACCCGTGTAATCTATTGCCAAACTTCTCTGGATTTACATGATTTAAAATTTTTCATACCAAGCACTTTTCAGAATTTATGAGCATAGGATTTACTAAATCCGGATTTACAAGATTTAGTAAATCCTACTAAAATTGAATCCAATCCTATACCAAACACCCCCTTAGTTGAGAAGATATTATTTGACCTTTTGTGAGTGGAAAATCTCATAAAGAATAAACACTAACAACTAATCATAGCCAATAGCTCAAAGGAGGCAGGAAAAATAAGTAAATACCATTAAAGAGCAATAGTTTTAGATGCAGCAGAAAAACTAATTAATACTGCCAGAGAGGTTAACACAGAGATCTACAACAACATATTAAAGACTACCTGATAAGCTTCTGGCCCTTCAGAAATAACAGTTGCATGGAACACAACATACTGCATATCTGTTAGAGTGCACACTGTGTCAAAGAGCAGTTTTGGCCGATCTTTGCTTCTCACATACACCACAGTATACCCTCTCTCTACACAGTTTTCGACCGTAACAACTAGCTTGATTTTGTCATCCTTGGCCTCATCGACAACCGAAGAATCATTCCTATCATAATCGCGATCATCATACATCATCTGATGCAGCCGCCGCTCGGTGTGAGTCATTCCAATAGAAATTGCAGTTTTGGCACTTTGCTTTTCCTTGTTTCCCTCAAGCACATAGCGAAGAAGCTGCTTGATCTTTGTTAGTCGGTCAGAGTCATCGATTGGTCCTCCGGTGGCTTCATCTGTGATATAGACCACAGATGCCATTCTCAATTTATGAGTCCAAACTTCAGCAGCCACAATGTTGCATTTCAGGTCAGTTAGCACTGCAAATATCTCCGAGAGCAGCCCCGGTCGATCTCTACCAATCAATTCAATTGAAATGTGCTTCGAAGCTGCTTGGATTCCTACTGACTGCCTCAATGATCTGAAGCTAGATCCTCTTGAACTTAGTGACTGTGGTTACTAAGTTTATGTTAGTAAAAGTTCTGAAATTTGATGAGAGCAGACATATAAAACACATCAGTACTTCATAAACAACATCATTATCAGAACTATTACTCATGGAAAATCTAATTCTAAAAGGTGATACAATTACTAATGAAAAAGCAAACCAATTATCTAAGGTGTACTGAATACAGTAAAAGAAGTAAAATAACTGAAACTAACAAAATGTGGAGTAATAGATACAAAAACCATCAAGAAGAAAATACTCTTGAATTCTTCAAAGATCCAGAGATGACACTCCAAGTACAAAATGATAGAAATAAAATAAAATGTTCATATATTCTAAGCATTATAAAAAATAGATTAAACCAATTTTTTTAAGTAAAGTTTCTTTCTTTTCTAGTACTCTGAATTGAAAATTTTCAGAATCTTGCCTGTTGAATCAGTTCAATGACTTCATTATCATAGAGCTTATTCCCTTGTTGGTCCACAACATGGAAAACTGAAAAAGAGAAGCTAATTACAGAGGAACAGACCAAATAAAGAGAGCAATTTATTTAAAAAAAAAAAGAGATAATGTAGATTTTTACCATCCATGAACCACTCTCCATCAGAGGAAATGTATGCTCTTTTAATAGTTAGGTTTAGGTCAATCAAGACTTGCACAACCTCCAACAAGCTCCCATGCTTATTAACACTGTCCACCTGCATCAAAAAACTTTAAACTAAGGCAGGAAAGTTTTATTCAAGTCAAAACACAAAAATGTTAAAAAACTGGGTAAAAAGAGAGACAAAAATCAAATAGAAAGAAGACCTTGATTAAGGTGGCTCTCTTGCTGGTATTGTTATCGATTGAAACCCTGAGAAAACGCCCAAATCCATCAGAACTTCAAAGAATTCCAACAGACAGAAACAGAGAAAAAGGACTGAAAAGAGTAAAGGCTTGACCTTGGTGGGTTCATTCGGATTACAAGCTTCGCATACTCGTCCTCAACATCAATTGAGGGAGAGCCACAGCCCAACATAGCTGAAAACTCGCTTTCTACTAGAAGATTTTCAATTAGCCAAACAGAATAAACAAAAGAGGGAACTTTGGATATAATATGGACAGAAAAAGAGAAGAAGCAAAGGAAAAAAAAATGGCTCCTTTCTGTCCTCCTTTCTTTGTTAGTGTACTTTGTTTTTCTTCTTCATAAGTACGGTCTCACTCCCTTCTTCCTCCCTCACCCTTTATGGGATGATAGCCAAGTCATTCTTTCTTTATACCCGTCTCTGCCTGTGCGGGGTGGCCCTCGGCGTCTCTCAGTCGACCAAAGCGGAGGACAGAGAAATCAATTTTGCTTCTTGAAAGAAAAATAAGTTGGTTTATGTCAGAATAAAAAACACAATAATAAAAATATAATTTATTTTGGAACGGGTATATATCCGCTGCCACTTTAAAAGGAGCGTTTGGCGGTGTAACAAATCCCTTGATGGAAACTAGCGAGGACACCCACCAGCATCGGACCAACACTTGCTTTGCCCAACAGAAGGAGACATTATTCCGTGTGATGCCGACATCAGCTGTACATCTGGATATCAATCAGAATGAGCCACGTCAGCAATATTGAGCCGCAGTACCGAGCAGTAACGAGCCCCGTTATCGTGTAATCTAGCAGTACCGAGCCGTGGGCTTAGTTATCCGGACGTGATTCAGTTTCCACACAAAATAATTCTTCCAACTGAAAAGAGGCGAGGTCGTAGTAGAGAGGATCCGAACTAATATGGGGTTACATAGAAACAACATGTAAGTATGTATATTTGTATACATGTAAGGTAGAGAGAGAAATTTGTTTTATACTGTAGAAATACTTTATATAAAGTGTAAAATGGTGTGTCTGTGTGAGAGAGAGAGAGAGAGAGAGAGTTGTTTAAGAGATCATGTTGGTAGATGTCCCATGTGAGGAAGATGGCCTAAATTGGCATTCTTGGGGTGATGCAACTCAGCTTTTTCTCTTTTTATATCCTGCTATCTATACATAGCTTCCTGACCTTTTTCTTTCAGGCTTTAGGGTTTGAGATTCATTGAATTTTCATGCCTTTAGCTTATATTCATATTCCTTTCCTTCCTCGTGTTTTTCATGATTTTTTTTTTTCTCATTGACCACCGCATTTAATATACATTTCCCATAAAATTTATATAGTGATATTCTTATTGAAATATAATGTGAATGATTTCATCATTAAAATATTATTTACTCTTAAGATGATAATAGTAATAATTTAATACATATTTTGTTGAGATTATTAATAAAAATTAATTAATTAATAAAGTTTTGATTTAAAATATAAATCTTGAGACTTATAAGAAAATAAATTATAGTTGATTGTTCATTTATTTACTATAAATTTGACTTTTTTAATATTTTCTAAAATAATTTTTTAGTACAAAAATTTTTAGTTTAAGAAATTATGTAATAAAAAATTACTTTAAAAACAGCAAGAAAGTCATCTTAAATTAAACCTCAAGAAAAAAAAAATATTCACCAGATAGGAAGTGTGAATATACCTCAAAGCTAATAGCTTTTTTTTTTTCCCTCATGAAGATGGATAATAAAAGCATATCAATTTATAGTAATCGCCAACATACACTCACTAAGGTTTCGTTTGATACGGCTTTCTTAATGCTCTTAAAACAATTTTTTAGCAAAAAAAATAAATTTTGTACTAAAAAATAGTAAAAAATTCATATCAAACTGAGCCTAAGTCGCCGTTTGACCATATAATGATGAAAAATTGATTGAAAATTTTTGTTATTAGATTTGAAATTTTTTTTTGGGACATTTGGGCCATTTAAGGCAAACTCACACACACAACGCATACACATAGACTCGAACCTTAGACCTCTTAATTGAAAGACAAAGCTCTCAACCAATAGGCCTAGGAGAGTTGTGTATATATATTATATACTCCAACAACTCAAAATTGTTTCTAAGCAGACCTTCCCCTAACCCAAGTTATCTAAACTCTGAGTGTCGAGCACTTTTTTTATTTTTTAGACAAGAAATCTTTAATAATCCCGATTTTGCCATTATAGCGCCTTAGTGGAGTTTGTCACATGTCCCATAGAGTAGAAGCATTTTCTGATTTTCACACTGTTTTTTCACCCCAATGTCCAAACCTCTACATCACCAAAATCCTTACAATAAAAGCCCATTAACCTGAAACTCCTTCACTCAACCTAAGCCAAACAGTTAGATTTTTTATTTTATTGTATTTTGATTATTATTACTTTGCTCATTTATTTACTTTGGCTGTTATGGTTAATTAATAAAAACTAATGCTACTAATGTGTGTGTTTTTGTGTGTGTCCGTGCGCACGAGCTTTTTTGCAATCATCGTCATCGACATCATTGTTGCCACCTTGTCGCACATTTATAATTCCCTAAATTTAAAAAATCATGCTATTGGCGTCTGTAGTTGACCGGAAGACCCCATATATGTGCTCTGGTAGCACGATAGGAGAAAATCTGGTGCGACGCTTATGGCGAGATGGATAGGTTATGTACACGCTCTCGTAGTGTGGCGGGGACGCTTCTAAGTACCAGTACGCACCTCAGTGCTTGCGAGGAAAGTAATTGCACACTTTCAAACAGGTACTGAAGACCCATATGCGCTATTGTAGCACGGTGAGATTGAAGACTACGGTCACAATGTCGCCCGACACCTAATATACACACGCTCGCAGCGTGGCGGCCCTGACTCTTGGAATTTCCTTAAACTGGGGAGACGCCGGAAGGCTACCAAAATTCAAATCAAATGCAGAAGAACTGAATTTGAATAAAAGAACAACATGCGACTCGAATTTGAACATAATGCAGGGAACAAAACTTTTGAATCGAACTATAAAAAACTGGACTTAATGTGCAACATGAAAAGTGTAAATTATGAAATGCTGAAATTAAAATGCAACTGTACATGTGAGAACATGTAATGAACATCAATAAATTAACAAAGACTATGTAACACAACTTGCTTGTAAGCAAAGAGTAACGAAGATTATGGAGAATATGACAATTTATATGAAAGTAATAACTTGAAATTTCTCCAATAAATGCCAAAGGTGTAGTGCCGATATAAGCACTAATGTTACTAAGCAAGGATGTCAAGCTTTTCCTGCCTATTACAAATGACCTTTGAGGGCAAATAAACTCATAAGTAATGGAAGAACATGACAACTTGCTTTCAACCAATAAGCTGAAGTCTCATGTGAATGTTGGAGAATCATCACACTGATCAAAAGCACAAGCACCAACAAATAACAACATTGGCGGTTATCCTACGAGTACAACAATTTGATAAATTAGATGAATGCTACAACGTCCCTTCAAATGGAAAATGAGGCCTGCAGCATGAGGTAGAAGATCATGGCAAATGCAAATGCTTACTGGCAGGGATGGAAGATTCACCGTTTACATAATAATATACGTGTGGGTGATGAACGATGATAGGCAGTGAATACTACAACATCCTTATAGCTAGTAGCCACACAATGACAACAATTACATTGATCTATTGCAAGCAAAGACTGATGATGTGCAACATATACAAATATCTACAAGTAACCGCAAGAGACTAGTTAGTGCACCACAGTCTACATGTATAAAGCAACGAGCAACCCGTAGTGCGACACCACACCACTGGATTAGCAACGCTCATGCAAGCGGACATAAGATGTCTACAAGATCTTAAATAGGGCGTCACGCACGTTCAAATGGCAGTCGTTGTGCAACTGATCAACATTAAATATTTAAAATACCCCAACACATACATTGCAATGTGTATACACATAAACATAAAAGTGCACATACAAACACATCAATATATGAATGAAAGTATACACACGTGACATCTGAGGAGACTCTACAAGTCAAGAAATGAATCTAAGTTTGAGTATGATCCTTCTATGTGGGTCGATGAGAGTCAACATGACTCGAATTATCAATCAAATATACGGTCACAATATTGACTGGAATATTTATTTTATACATTCATATTAAGCCTTCACCTCAATAAGAAAGATTCATTGATAAAAACTAAAGCCGACAATAAACTCGATCTTGTATCAACAATAAAACAGAGTCGACAAGGTTCGACTGATAATATGCCCCCTAAGTAATCGTATGGGGAAGGATCAAGCGTAATGCTTGCGCACACCAGATGTCTAAGGATGCTGCACTGGTCAAATAAAAAATCAAGTTCGAGCTTGATCCTTTTATGCAAGCAGATAAGAGTCGACACTGCTCGAACTATCAACTAAATATACAGTCACGACATCGATTGAGATATTTGTTTTAGTACGTTCATATTAGGCCTTCAAGGCCTGTAACCAGGAAAATTCATCAATAAAGGCCTAAAGCCTACGAAGAATCCAATCATATGTCGGCAAGTAGACAGAGTCAACAAGGTTCAATCTATAAATGAAATTACCCATAAGTGCAACCTGAAGATGGCCGTGTTGAACGTAAATCTCAACTGGAAGGATTAATTCCAAATAATCATAGTGTCATCCAAACACCACAAAATTCAAAACTCTAAGAAAATATCAAAATTTAGAATATTTAAAATCTAAATCATTTATCAAATGCTTAAAGCAAAACTCATCAATCATTTATAACAGTTTGTCGAGGTGGACAAACCAAAAAACTACTTTAGCTCACAAAGATTTAATATCTGGTCAAGAATATCACTAGGATTCATTCTCAATATGTCTCCTGTCGGTATGGATGTGGCATTGGTCCTCTAATTGGCGGCTTAACTGGATGGCTTAGCAAGGAACCCGTGTACTGGCCATATTAGCACTACATAGTTAACGATTATGATCTCGACCCTCTGATCTAGTGGCTTGGTCCAACGACTCCATTGTATTACAGTTATGATCACAGCCTGTATGCTCCCCCATTGCTTCAAATCATTAAGACATAAATTGATAGGACACAAAGCCCTCAGTGTGGAAACATATTTGTCTCCTTAGGCAAATATTCCCCACAGGTCTACAAGATACCCTTGGACGAAGCAACCCATGGCTGCCGACAAGGATCTTTCTATAAGGTTGGGTCGATTACCTCCTCTGACTAAGTAGGCCAATGACCACGATGGGCCCGGGATGACAGAACAATGAGATCTTGATTGTGTCCATCATCTATTCCCTCCACCATGCGCTTTAAGTGCAAAGTGGTGAATTTATGATTATCAAATACCTCAACCCGTGCTGCTATTATACACCAGATAACACGTATTTCTACATATATGATCGACGACTAGTCTTAATCGAAAGTTCTCTCTCGTTATCGAGAGGGGTAATTAACTATAGGGGCTTGTGTCTATAGGAAACCTGAATTAAGATCTAAAGTCCTCACAAAATTAGGGTATAATCTATTGGTAGTGTCTTATTTCAAGCCCAATCTGCCTTCTAAAAACTTACCTCGGAACTTAATTTGTTAAAATTCTCCCGAAAGAGGGGAGGCCAGGGCACGAATTTTTTGAGCTCACAATTGTAAATCTTGATCATGATTATGTAGTGTTGCATGATCTTCAGTGTATGCTAAAATGTATTAATGAGTGGAATAAATAAGCTATTTAAGCATAAGAACTTTGCAATGCTTGCAGGGTTGCATGCTTTCGATTGAGTTCTATTTGATTTTTAATTATATTGAAATCAAACAATCAAAATCTCAGAAATAAAATGTAATCTCACTAATTCCTTTTAAACTAAAGAGAGCAATAGGCTTTGTTTGGTTCAAAGGAATTAAAAGAGATGATATAAAAATGAGAAGGAAATGAAAATCATAAAGGAATTGAATTGAAACTAATTCTCCTAATGTTTGACTAAGAAGAATTTGAGTTGAATTTTTTATTTTCTTGATAAACATTTGAGTTTATTTTGTAAGAACAACCAAAAGCTTATTTTTTGTTATTAGTGCATAATACATCTATAGAGCCTATAACAAAATCTTTAAAAATCCTATATGCTTCAAAGCATGCAATAAACTCCACTTACATGATGAAAAGTTCACTACTGATTGCTTATAGCTTCTCATAAATGAAATCTACTCAGAAATAAAATATATATTCACTTAAAAAATTTCAATCATTAAAACAACCAACTATATTGCATCTTTTTATCCAAGCCCTTTCAATTGATCTATATTATGAACTCATCACCTTGCAAACCACCAAATGTTCAAACAAAATAAATGTTTTCTAAGTACAAATCTAAAAATTCTTTTGCATGTCATTATGAATTTTGAAACCAAACTCAAAATTAACTTTGAATCTTAACAAAATTCAAAAATATAAATTTAACATATAGTTCATTCATTCATACATACAAACATAAACATTTAATCCTTGCATATTCTTTACACAAATCACTCACAACTACTCCCTCACCACCTATTTAACAACAACATATCAAATTTGAAAAAAAATCCATTACTTCTCATTTGACCCAACTCCCACATAATCCAAAGGACCATAAGGAAGGAACAAGTTTGCTAAGAATCCCTTCTTTCTTTTAGGATTGCAACCTATATCCTTACAAAGATGATCATTATACCAGATATGAATTGTGCCAATGCTCGATCTCCTATAATACTCATGTAAGTATCTTTTCATAAACTTTTCCCATTCAGTTACATCTTTCTCCATCTGATCTATTCTTGGTAGTCTAAATCCTCCATCAAGGAAATGTGCCACCCATCTTGCCCTCATCTCAGAAGTATAAAGGTTTGCAAGGCTCTCTGAGTATCCTACTACTGCCATTTGTGGTATCCTTGGATGAATGCATTCCCTATACATAGAAATCAACAAAAAAAAATTCATAAGTTGGTGAATAATAAGGTAAAATATATAAGTTGAAGCACTATTAGAAGTTTAGAATATCCAACGACTAGAGATTAGTGTAGGAGTTTTGGTGGTCCTGCTTTCTTTTTCTTTATTGTTGCAAAGATGTAGTGATGTTAATCTCTAGCTAGTGGCTAAGGGATAGTAGAATGTGCAAGCTAAGGAACTGAGACAAAGAGAGATACTAGCTATTACATAGTTATGAAAATTTTCTTGCTTCTGATAATACTATATTGACCTTGCAATCTAAGACTAATAATCTCAAGTGGATAAGAGATTTCATATTATGTTTTACAGGAGAGGAATAAATAAGAGAAAAAAAAAAATCTTCATTCTCCAATATTAACAAGACTATAAGCTGAGGGGTCATAAATGAGAGCTTGCCAAAAATATTTCATGTAACAGATGGATAGTTTCATCTTTATAAATCTTGTTTTTGTATTTGGCATTTTAACTTAGCATGTTTTGCTATTAACTTAAGCATACTTGTATCATAATCTGATTATAATATTACACAATAAAAAAACATATATGGACGTGTGTAAAGGCATTTTACTTAAGCATATACTTCTTTTTTATCAATAAAAATTTATTATCAAACTATACCATCTTTTCCTAAAGCATACTAGTTTAATCCATTCGAGGCTTCAGGGTACAAACAAAATGGTTTGGCAAATAATTTTGAGAAACAGCCACTAAAGGTTTTAACACAAGCTAGAGATTTTGAACATAACCAAATGCTTATCTAACAAGCTATATCTTAAGCAAAGATTGTCTATAAGACCTCAATATTTCTTTTATTGATCATAATGATGAGAATCAAAATTTAATGAGTGACCCTTTGCAATCAAAACTATGTTCTACAATGGCTACAGCCAGAATCCTCGTTTCCTTCAACTAATTCATGTGATTCATGCAAATAGAAAGCCATCTCATTAGAGCTAGATTCCTCCGTGTTTAAGAGGATTTTGCAAGCATTGGAATGGTCCCGCTTGGAAAGCTCCACCTCTAGAGAATAATTTTAATCACTCCAATGACTTGGCATACGCAGATCTTGATATATGATAATTCCATATTGTGTAATTATGTTGAACGATATTAGGGTGCCTAAAAACTAAAGATAAGAATAGTCTTGCTAAGATTGATGTCGTTTGAGCGAGTTTCAAAGGTCTTCATATATCAAATTAGTAGTCATGGCAATCATTTCATGAAGATTTGCTTCCAAAGTATAAGATGCCTATTGTTGACCTAGATGATTGCTTTGCTGGTTGATTCGAGCATGCGCTATGAAAACAATGACCAAATAAAGCAAAGTCATGTGAAACAAGTTCCTCGACTACAATCAAAATCACTCAAAATTTGCTTTTTCATAAAGTGGTATGTGTCAATGTATTCAAAACATTAAAATTATCAAAGAAATGCCCTTCACGCTTAATTCAACCAAACAACACCGAAAATAACAATCAACAGATATGACATTGCACAAATTTTCCATATGCGTTTTAAATGTCAAAATTACCCATATATAATTGTGGGATCCAAAAATGAATGGTGGCAAGATGTGAGATCTATTAGAGGAACAAATATTTGGCTATGTCACTAGGGGGACCACTATAGCCGTTGGCGCTACCGAGACGAGTATGGGAGGAGATATCCATGGATTTCATAGATAGGCCGCCCCGTTCAGAGGGCTTCATAGTGATCTTGGTGGTGGTGGATAGATTGAGCAAGTATGCCATCTCATCCCCCTCCGACATCCTTACACAGTGGAGACAGTGGCTTTAACATTCATTAGAGATGTGGTCAGATTGCATGGCGTATGAAAGGCGATCGTGTCAGATAGAGATAAGGTGTTCCTCAGTCATTTTTGGAGGGAGTTGTTCAGGTTACAGGGGACCGTTCTGAAAAGGAGCACCACTTATCACCCACAAACAGATGGCCAAACCACTACAGGAAAAAAACCGATTACCGGCGGTTCTAACCGGCAGTTTATGGACCGCCAGTTTTAACGGCGGTTTCGCCGGCGGTATCACCGCCGGCTTTTACCGGCGGACTAACCGGTGGTTTTGTTTTCGTTAAGCCGCCAGTAATAGCGACGGTCACGTAACAGCCGGCAAAATCGCCGGACGTCAATATGCCATGCGGTTTAACGACGGCTTGGACCGCCATTGATAAGTTATTTTGTTACCGGCGGTCCGGACCGCCGGAATACCGCCGATAAATGCCCTAAAACGAACAGACCCGCACCTTGCATTTCATTTCTATTCTTTCCTTCTCTCTCTCGCTTCGGTCGCTCTGCCGTCGCCTCTGCCCGCATCTCGCTCAATTTAGCTCGGTTTGTCGCCGCCGACGAAGTAACTCCGACCGCCGACCCCACACTGGCCGCCTCTCGCTCGGTCAACCTCTGCTGTCTCTTGCCGCCGTCGATCTCACTCCGGATCTCACGCCGGCTGCCCTAGGTTTCATGTGAGTTGAAGATAAATCAGGAATTTAAGGTAATCTTTAACATTTTTCTTTGATTATTTGTTCTCACTAGACATTTGCAAGAGTTTTTAATATATTGTATGATTTAGGTAGTAATTTAGACATATGCAAGAGGTATTGTTGTAATCATTTGAGTAGATCTAAATTTTCTATTTATTAAGTGTTAATTTAGTAATGATAGATCTAATTTGTTGATTGTGACTTTGGGTTAGAGCAAGATAGCAAGAGAGAGATTGAGAGAGAGAAAAGAGAAGGAGAGGGAGAGATAAAAGAGAGTGAGAGAGAGAGAACAAGAGAGATAGATAGATAGAGAGATATATGAGAGAGCAAGAGAGAGGGAGAGAGGGAGAGAGAGAGAGAGAGAGAGAGAGAGAGAGAGAGAGAGAGAGAAAAGAGAGGGAGGGAGAGAGCGAGAACAAGAGCATTGAGATGAGGGAGAGGGAGAGAGAGAGAGAACAATAGAGATAGATAGATAGCAAGTGTTAGAGAGAGCGAGAGAGAGGGAGAGTGAGAGAGAGAGAGAAAAGAGAGGGAGAGTGAGAGAGCGAAAAGAGAGGGAGAGTGAAAAGAGAGAGAGAGAGAGAGAGAGAGAGAGAACAAGAGAGAGAGAGAGAGCGATAGATAGAGAGAAAGCAAGAGCGATAACGAGAAAAAAGAGGGAGAGTGAGAGAGCGAAAGAGAGAGGGAGAGAAAAGAGAGAGAGAGTGAAAAGGGAGAGATATGGAAAAGAGAGAGGGAGAGTGAAAAGAGAGAGAGAGGGATAGAGAGAAAGAGCGAAACGAGAATATATGTGATCATGCTGACTCACGAATATTAAAAGCCACATAACCTTTGCTTTGATCTGAAGCACTCCCTTGAGTGAGATGGTGGCTCATGATAACAACCATGACTATAGCAAAAAGATATGGACTAAAGGCTAATCTATATGTAATCCAACCGAAATCTCAAAAAAATTTGAAAACATATACCTTCGGTTCCTCGGCGGCGCGCGACTAGGAAGCACAGAGGGCGGGACGAGCGACTAGGAAGGAGGCTCGGCGAAGTCCGGTGATCGTCGACGGCGATGTCCGGTGACCGTCGGCGACGTCTAACCACGGCGAGCGACGAACGGCGACGGAGGGCGACGAGCGAAGCAATGGAAGTGAGAGAAAGAAAGGAAAAGAATGACGGCCAGGCGACGAGTGAAGCAATGGAAGTGAGAGAAAGAAAGGAAAAGAATGACGGCCAGAGGGGTTCGGGTTCGCGAAATAGGGCTTCTACCGGCGAAAGGAAAGCCGGTAATTTTAATATTGCCGTCGGTATAATTTCCGACGTATACTCCGCCGTTTTTTTTTCGTTGAGTTTAAATAAGGCGGCGTACTATCCGCCGGAACCATAAGCCGGAATAGTTCCGCCGTAACATGCGACGGAAATGGTTCAGGCATCCCTATACCGTCGGGTTTTCC